CAGGTCCTGGTCCTCACCCTCCCCCCATGTCCACGTGTGTGAGAGCAGCCCCCTGAGAACCTCGCCCAGTGCGAAGCCCCAATAAGGAGGGCTGTTAAATCCCACCCAACTGCATTCACCGATCAGGGCCGCCGCTCTGCCCCTGCCCCTGCCCAGCACTGCTCTTACAGCCGGGCATCCGATTGCACAGCCACATTTCAGTGCTGAGACAGTCCTGTTGCAGACTGGCAGGGCTGTCCCTAGGGTCCGGGGGTATAGAGTCCCTCATGCTGGCTGGAAACAGGATCAATTGGAGGCTGTGAGCTCCGTCAGCCCCACCGGTGACACCTGGGGCAGGCATCAAGCCTGGAGGGAGGGATTAGAAAAGGGAAAAACCCAGCCCAGGAATGGCCACCTGGAGCAGTACTAGCCCTTTGAAAGAAGACCTGGCTGAGCTTGGTGCTACCCAAGGGTTGCTAGATGCCAGCAGAGCCTCTGTAGGGCAGGTAGGCCCGGCACAAGACTGGGGGTTTTGGTCCATATGACGTGTGTTTTTCTTTGGGCGTCTGTGGAGGTGTGTGCCCGGAGAGGGTCTGGTAAAAGGCCCGGAGGCAGGCGGGGCTCGGGTGTAGGCCAGGGAGGAAGCTGCAGGTCTGAGCAGACAGACCGTAGCAGTTGGAGCTGGAACCAGGTGCAGAGGGAGAGCCTGGGTTTTCATGGGGACCCTGGTGGGAAGGGGTGCCAAGCACTGATCAGTCTGAAAACCCGGCATGCAGCGGCTGGACTATGGCCGGATGGGACTCAGTTCACCGGGAAAGGCTGGACCCAGGTGTGACCTGGCTGGATGGTGGCCGGACCCCGGAGGAAAATCCTTTGTTATGCCACGCCCACCGGTAACGTGGCCTGCAGCGGCGTACCCTTTTATGCAGCCCAGGCGTGGGGGCTCAGTCGGGTCTGCTCCGAAGAGCAGGGCTGGCATTATGTAAAAGTGCCTAGAGGAGTTAGGCACCGAGCTCTCATCCCAGCCTCGCCACAGATCGCCGGCCCTTCCGGAGCTTGTCAGGAACGAGCTGGAGAGGTGGCTTATGGCAGAGAGAAAAGAGCAGGCCTCACAGGGCCCTTTAATCCAGTGGAGAAAAGCAGCACAAGAACCCCGGGCTGGAAGCTGACACCAGCCACGTTGAAAGGTGAAATGCGGCTCAACTCGTCATTGACGCGGGCAGCTCACCGGCGGGACAAAGTCCACGTGAGTCCCCAGTCCCCTGACGTCCTCAGGGAGAGACCAAATATCCAATTCTGGGGGAGACCGTTATCAGGGATAATAGGGGGAAATTATCTGGCCTCTGTGATACGGGAGCTCAGCCTGGGAGGTCTATTAGGCCCTTCCGGTCACCCAGTCTAGGAGCGTACGGACTCTCACTGCCAGGAAACGTTTCCTCACCTCTGCCCTAAAGTGTCCTTTGCTCAATCTCATCTCAGCCTCTTTGCTTCACCCCCACCCCCAGCCTGCTGGGAAGGCCTCCCCCCTCCTCTCCACAATGTTGTGGAGGACACAAACAACCGACACCACCTCGGGGATGTTGTGGTCCCACGTCCAGGCGGGTCAGGAGGCACCTGAACGACGCCTTGAGGTGCCCGAGGCAAACCCTGTACCACAGCCAGGCCCCACCCGCGGCCGGGGAAGGGAGGGGCTCACCTGCGTACTGAATATCCTTCAGCTGGTCGAGGATGGCCTGAAGGAGGAAACGGGACCAAGAGGCTTTGTGGGGCTCGCGCTGACCCCCACCCTCGCAAGAGGAGCAGAGGCCGGGTGGCCCAGTTAGATGGCTGCTGTCCCCGTTATGTTCCCTTTGGGGTCTTCAAACCCCCTCGTTACAGGAGTATCCGGGCACTGTCCAGCCCTGCACTGTCACCTGGCCCACATTGCCCCGTGGGGTTCTGTCTCACACCAGGGGAGAGGTGTATATGTGGTGGCATGGCTTGTTTTGGTAGGGTTGCTTTTTTACATGCCCATTTCTGCCTACTCTGTGCCTATGTTAAGTCAGGTCAGAGGAGCTCCCCTTGCACTCAGAGCAGGGATGGGGAGGTTGGTGATGGCTGGAAGGGGACCAGCCCTGAAGAAAGCTCGGCTTTCCCCTGCACAAGTTGTATCTTCATTCAGACATTAGGGGCTGGTCGAGGATGGAGCAGGAAGGGTCCCTGGCTGTCCCTTCAGAGGACCTGGACAAGGGAGATGCTAGAGATGGGCTGATGTTTCTGAAGTCAGGGTCTTCCTCCCGACATCGGGAGGCTTTGACCCTGGACATCCTGGGGTCCCACTCAACTTCTAGGTCCCATCTCCTAGCTGTCTGGCCATCTGGTCATGTTCAGCCCTCATGACGATATCGGAGATCCTAGTCCCAGCACTGCCTTGGGGAATGCTGGAGAGTGGGTAACTGGTCTTCCTCTCGGGGGTGAAATTCACCTGCATGCAGAGAGAACAGCCTGACATCCAGGCTGTCCCTTCACCAGGCATTACCCACAACCCCAAAGCTGAGCTGAGGAAATGCTGTCATGCCACACGTGATTAGCCTGTGGAACTCATTGCCACAGGATGGCACTGAGGCCAGGACGTGGAAAGGGACTGGATGTCTATCCAGAGAGCGAGAATACCCGGAGTTTGAATAGCGAACGTGTCTGTACGGAAGGGAGAGAGAACCTCGTGTTTCAGGACTCAAGTCAGCTGCAAATAATTAGAGATCGAATGAGACCTTTATGGGGGTGGGTTATCCGATACATGGCCATTGGGGGATTTCTTCCACCGTCCTCTGAAGCTGCATAGGAGCTAGGATACTGGGCTAGCTGAACCTCAGAACTGAGACAGTCCAATGGCTCCTCTCTTCCCCCTAGTGTCCCCTTTTGACCCAGAAAGGAATCACACCCCCAGCAAGCAGAGGGCTCTGCTCAGAGACTCCCCCCACCCCCCTTCCCCCCGAGCATCTCTTCTCAAGCTGGCTGGATTGTAGAATCCACCAGCCCTGCCCCGCCTTGGCAGCGCACTCACCTCGATGAGGATGCCCAGCACGGCCAGTCCGTCCGCCCACCTCTTGGCCTCGCTGAAGTTGGCATAGCGCTCCGAGTTGTAATGGACCACGTGCAGCTGCAGGGGGACAGGGGCGGGGCAGGCTCTGAAAGAAGCAGTCTCTCCGAGCGCCCGCTGGTGACCGCATCCACGCACCATCCCTTTGGGACAGGGGCCAGAGGCACAGGCCCGGGAAGTGACTTGCCCAAGGTTATCCCCGGGGAGTCAGTGGCACGCCTGGGAAGATGACCCACGGCTTCCCAGTGTTCTGCCCATTGGACCATGCTGCCCCTTGGCAAGTCAAGACCAGCAGGGACAAGCCACTGAGTTTTACAACCCACCTCTTCAGACCTAGGCTGCTGGGCAGCCGCCCTCCCTTCCCCTTTTCCCACAGCGATCCTTTCCCTTCCAGCCCTGCCTCTCTCCGGCCACGCTGCCCTGTGGGGCTCAGGCAGGTTTGCAAAGGGGCCAGGGCTGCCCGCAGGCTCCATCGGCACTTAGCCAGCTCCCAGTTTTGCAAGGCCTTGCTCAGGTTCTCTCTTCATGGGGTTGGCGGCCACTGGGGCAAAGAGCAGGGCCCTGGCAGCACTGTTCTCCGGCGCGAGGCTGGCTCTGAGCCGGTGGCTCAGGGTGCCAGGCCAGGACCGGCACCCAGCCTGCACTGATCGCTGAGACTCCTCCTGGCCTGGGCCCCACCCAAGCAAGCACTGCAGCTGAGATGCAAACCCAGCCAAGGAAAGGAGGGGCGAGGGGCAAACGCACCGTAACTGCCCCCCAGCCCCACCAGCATCAGCAGTTCAGTGCTCAGCATTGGCAGCTCCCGGGAGGGCAGAACAGGACCTTCCTTCAGCTCCTAATGCCCCCGCACCGGCCCCTCCAGCCCCCGTGGGCGCATCGGGAGCCCTCGCCGGGCCGGGCG